TTTTTATCCTCTTGCAGAGACTGGTGCTTTCAGTGCCATGAATGGTTTTGTTTGCATTACCCTGCAAAAATGCGCCTGTATCAAGATTAGAAATACTATGCATGCCTATAAAGGCAAAGGTTAACTTACCTCAAGAATGCATGACAACTAATCCTTTCAGAGAAAATTCTCAGCATACACGTGCTTCAGTAATAACAGTATGAAACCTAATTAAAAAGTTTTCTTGGAGAGATCTTCAGATTTACAGCATTGCTGGTTTTTTTCATCAGCAAAGTACTCAAAGGGACTCAGGATGTGAACAGTAGAAAAATTACCTGCTTTAGAACTCCGTGAAATTTTTTTTTCTATGGTATGACTATGCCAGCATCTGTATGATAAAATATTTTGAACATTTAAATTCACTTTTATTAATACTAGTTCAAGCTATCAATTTTAAATTCAACACTGATCTCAGCACTGCAATTTACATTTGCAACAGCTGAAAATCTCCTACATTTATGAGAGAAAAAGGCATAACTAAAAGCACAATCACATTTAAAGTTTCTTAATGCAAGCAAAACAATTCTTGCAATAGGTTTCCAAAAGAACCTTGGACAATTAACTCCTCCCTTGATTTGCCTAAAGCCTTTACATCAATACCTGGCACGAAAAGATTAATAAATCTTCACTGCCAACAGCCAAATTATATCTGTTTAAAAGCATTCAAGAAAACTATACACTTGCTGGGAAAAAAAAGGAAAATAAAATTCTAGTGACACAACATGTCAAAGCCACTTCAGGACCTCCAAAAATAAAATGTTCTGACAATTTTTATTTCTGAAAAGAAAGGACATGCACTTTCATATAGCAAATGTGATTAGCCAAATTATAATTCTCTACAAGGTAATGGTCCCCGAAATTCTGCTACAGCATACATACTGTTCTAAGTAATTTCATTGGTTTTCAAATGCAATTTATTCAACAAGTTAAATCCATTCATCTGTAAGGGAAAAATGCAAAGTAAAGGAAAACTTTAATGAAGAGCCACGTTATGGCAGACACTCCCTATCTCTAAGCTCACACCGCTTAATACCAAGATTATAAATAAAAGTCTCCTGTGACTGGACTACAGCAACTGACTTTAGACATTTGACAGGATTCACCACCAAAACTGCCCCTCGGTTCAGCTGAGACCATCAAGTCAGAGAAAACCTTTTCACTTGTTCAGGTTCTGTCTTGCTGTTCTGTCTTGCTGTTGCCAAGCATTTCCCCATTAACACTTTTTGCTTGTGCTGCTGGAGAGCTCGAGTTCGCTGGTGAACAAGCTCCCAAGAATAAGCAAGGCCTGAGGCTGTTCAGCACATTTAGGCCACCACAGCCTGTTGTGCTGCCACCTCCTCCATCATGAAGCACTGTGAAGCATTCAGAGCAGAAAAAACAGGAAGTGAGGTCAACCAAATTAATCTAACACATCATTGTCTACTCTATCCCTGTAATGCAAACCTATTCACAGCATTCCTCCTTTTCTGAACTGTGCTACAGACAAGTATCTCTTACCTTATTCAACAGCCAAAGATGATCCTGGTGCCTTTGCTTCATCTTAGAACGGTGTTACCAGCTTCAGTTTGGCTGGACAGAAGTACTGCTATTCATCTTGATTTCACTCAACTGTCGATGGAAACATTTTCAATCCTGAGACGTTTCAAGTCTCATTCTACAACTCCTGCTTTTCCATCTAGAAACCAGGGGTTTGTTTTGTTTTGTTTTTTTTTGGGGGAGTGTGGGTGCCAGCAGCAACATTCTACTTCCCTGTCATAATCAAGATAAAAGCGTTACTGCTGCGGCTTTTAAGCTTTTATTTTGTACAGTGTAGTATCTACTGCAAGCTCACTTCAGGGTCAAAGTCTAGCCCCACAAAAGTACACACAAACTGCAACTCCAGAGGAAGAACACAGCACTCCATAGATACTCTTTTTTTCTTTAAAAAAGCACACTTTTAGTTTCACAATTCAGTTCTTAGTGAAAATTAGATTTTTTTGTACTTTTCCTGGAAGATTTACCTCCTACAAATTGCCTCTCTTCCACCTTGTTTCTTGTGTCATGCTTGCCAACAGTACCACACACACAGATCTCCAGGACTTCGATTTCTCCATGGAAGCCAGCTTCTGGTCCCACACAACCAGAACGTAGCAGCTTCTTCCAACGAAGCTGACAGCTACATTTAACATTTTTAGTACAATTCATTGCCTTGAAACCAAAATTACACAGGATAGGGTAAGAGCCTTACAAATATCGGTTTGTTTTCAAGTATCACACCACTCCCCCATTTCAGTTAAACAGGGATTAATACAGAAAATGGAGATGCAGAAGATGTACGAAAAGGTCCCCGAGTCAGTCTGGTGCCTTATATATGGTGAAAGTTATCTTTGGGGAGTTCTGGCAACTAAAAAGCAAGCATGAAGATCCCTGGAGTGTAACTGTTTCCACAGAGACTTCCTAGCATTCCCCACATATCCTGTCAAATGCAAATAGCTGGAATGAGGTGGGCTGCAGCCGGTGGTCTCAGGCATTTCCCAGGCTGGTCATTCAGACTGTCAAAGGTGTTAGCCTAACTACAGAAAACTACTGTAAGGCTCTTGAGCCAAAAAGCAGCCTTACTTGCCACATGCAGCCGTGAACTAGCTGCATGCCTTCATAAGGACCGGACACTACTGTAAGGCTCTTGAGGCAAAAAGCAGCCTTACTTGCCACATGCAGCCATGAACTAGCTGCATGCCTTCATAAGGACCGGAGAACATACAAATTTGGGTTAAGAGACACACAGTGTGTATACACCTTAAAAGCAGCGGGGAAAAGAATGGTAACAATCACATTCAGCAACTTCTGGAGATAATTTTAATATCAAATAATGGCATTCTCATAGCACATATCTAATAAATCTACAAAGTCAATCCTTTAATGTTATAAAACCAATTTAGAAAAGTTTATACATGTCTTTTGCTTTTAAATATCTATAAATCAGTCAATTTAAAAAAGAACAAACTCCTTTACGACAAAAACTACCTTTACCATAAGAGAAAGCCCAACCTATTTTCCATAAGGGAACACTGAAAATATTCGTCCATTAAAAAGGCGAAGAGAAAGGGCACACATTTCTGCATTTTATCTTTCATCTATCTTAGAATAAGAACACAGATTATCCCTGTAAGTAATGCTGATGTTGTGATTTAGGTGAAGAAAGCCACAAAATCTCTGGGATGAGGAGACAGATGGTGGTGGTGGGGGGTAGTGACAAACTACAGAATTAAAAGTAGAAACAAAGACAAAAAGAATACAGTAATTGCACTAGGCTGCTCACAGCTATACAGAATGTAACTGTGCTCAGCAAATTATTTTGTTTTAAAATTGCCTCTCTTCTCCAGAAAGAATGCTTCCTGGGATGAGAAACAACTGGGAGGAGGGGTTTGGGTGACTGTACAAAACCTGAAGTATTAACGGGATTTCCCAAACACTAGGCTTCAGAGTAGCCTTGAGGGAAGGGGCCCTGAGAATTCTGCAATGCCATAAAAATATTCACATCTTTGGGTTGCCCTCAATTTTCATTTTAATTCTCTACTCTACTTTCAGCTTTAAGAGCTCTAGTTTTGCAAATATGTTTATTACACAGGTGGCTTTGGTGGTTATCTGACACCTGGTCCTACTGAAGGGCGCAATGACACTTGTTTACTTACAGTGGGGAACAGAAGAAAGCATCCTATTAAAACAGTCCCCTTCTATCGTGCAGTAACTAGAGAAGAAAGTACTCACATGTCAAAATGTTATTAAAGTTTTATGTGATTGTTGTTTGAGAAAAAAATACATAAATATGTATTAAGATAATGATAAACTTGTGCCAGTTTATCAAACAAAGTCTGAGTTCAAACAAACAAATATTTAGGCATCTTTACTCAATTCTCCTGAGCAAAGTATAAATCCTGCTTGCCCTATATGTAAATTAGACAACTTAAAGACATGTTATATATAATATAACACAATATAATATAGTAACAGCTAAAAATGAAAATGGTCGTATTTTTCAGTAAAACACCTCAAACTTGACATTGTTGAGCCACAACCTGCCTGCCTTTCTAATGCAAGTGATGCCATAAGATTCACAGGAATAACTCCCCAAAAGAAGAACAGGATTGAACAAGTACTGCCTACATGTATTGTATTGGTCTGTAGCTCGAGAACAAGATCTCATCATCAATCTGGTAAAAATAAAAATTTATTAAAAGTCCACTCTCAACTTTAAAATATTTCAACGGTTACTCTCAAGCAAATGTCTTCTACTCATGGAAATAATTTTTTCTGATGAAAGTGCTACGGAAGAAAAAAAATTAAAAATAATAAAAAGAAATACTCAGCAGCCTCAAATCTTGGCAGAATTTTCTGATACATGCAGACTACTTCTGTATATAATCAGAAACAAAACAAAACAAAACAAAATCTCTAAAGAGAGTCAATGTTACATCTTTAAATTAAAACAATACATAGTATTCATTCTATGTGTAAGAGCTGTAAAATCGAAAGAGACACAGTATAGGGTCAAAATCTTGTCTTCAGGCCTGACTCCTAGGTTATCATCCATGTTTCTACAGAACTTTAAAGAACAGGCTCCAAAAGATGAAAGCATTTTTACATCCCTGTTGCGCATATCATATCAGCTTTCATATTCCAAGTAACGAATCAATTAGCAAGCAATATGCAGCTTTAACTTACATATTTACAATTTTATCTACAACCTTCTCCTTCCCCCCCGCCCTCAACTGCATTCTATGTCCACATAATCCCAATGAAAAAAACATTATTTAAATGAATACATGCTGAGCAAAGAAAATACTTCTTGCGGTTCCTTTTTTTTTTTTTTTCTTTTTTTTTTTCCCTCCTTGCAAGGCAGAAAAAATCCCAAGCGCTGCTAAGCAGAGTTCCAGTTACTTCACACAGCAGTGCTCTTTGCCAGGTCTGGCTTGTTACATTTATTAGCTGCTGCTGCTGCCACGACGCTGTTGAAAGTGCAATTGCAAGATCAGGTATCGAATTTCTTCTCTTTTGCTTCTGATCAGCTGACGAGGGAACCACTTCTCCAGATTCAGTGGCTGTTCAAAGTTAACTATGGGATTCTGGTAACAGAAAAAAAGAATATTTACAATATGTATCTCCTAAAGCAACTTTTAAAAATAATTTCAAACCCCTCCATTACCGCTGAGATCAAGGAGGCACGAACAAGTTTCCCTAAGACGGTGACACGTTTCAAACTCCAGTTCCTCCATGGTAATCACATATATACATACCCTTACCACAAGCTACTCAGGGTAAATGTCAAACAGGTTATCACCCCCTCTCTTGAAGAGACATCGGTATAAGCACATATTCAAGACAGATTCTATGTATTCTGATAAAAGTAGACATACTCTATCTAACAAGGGACAGATGCATTTTGGTCACAAAACACACACATACAATGACACTACACGGAAGAATCAAGCATATACAAGTTCAGCACAATGAATTTTTCTTGCCTCAGGCACATGTTTTTGTCATGAGCTGCTCTGTCTGATAGAAGACAACAAAGAAGCAAGAACACTACTCGCAGTTTTAGCAGGACGTGAGGAGGGCAGAATTCAGAACAAAAGACGACAGCAAACTGATGTGGCTGAGAGATGCTGGCAGCTTTGGCAGTAAGACCACCAACACCACATCTGATCTCCCCAAATCATTTTTTTTCCTTTCTCTGTCTTTGTTCTCTTGTCATGCTTATATTTCACCTTCTCCTTCCTTTGAATAAAGTAGCACATGATAAATTGAAAAAGCAAAGTGAAAATCGTATCATATCAAGCCATCTATGAGTCCTGGTATGTTTAGGGCAAATTACAGCCACTTGTGCGTGCTGGCCTTGCTTCTGCAACCAGAACGTGACCTCACTGTTAAAGAATGGGCAGTTCAAAAGCATTGGTAAAAATGTCATTTTCCACCCATACAAGAGATCACCTTATGTATCACAGGATCCCAATGGCTGAGGATTGAAAGAACTTCTGGAGATCATCTGGCCCAACCCCACTGCTCAAACAGGGCCACCTGGAGCCAGTTTCCATGACCATGTCCAGCTCAATCTTTCTGGGCCAACTGTGCCAGCACTTGCTCACCCTCACAGTAAAAACCAAAACCAAAACAACAAAAAACCCCCGACAGCATTTCCTGAGGTTCAGATGGAACCTTCTGTGTTTCAGTGTGCATCCACTGTCTCTTGCTCTGCTGCTGTGCACCACTGAAAAGAAGGCTCTGTCCATTTTTTGCACCCTCCCTTGAGGTATTTGCATTTTTACACATTTTTCCTCTATGCATTCAGACCTCCTCATCTCTTTGCTTGACTTCCCGCTTGTTTGAATGAACTGTTCGTTAGTTTGAAGGTGGGGTTACTCGAATATCAAACAGTCTTCTCGGACCTCACCCCTGCAGGGCCTTACGTCATGGAATTGTTCCAAACAGATCCCTGAAAAGGCCAAAGTCCAGGCTTGTGATCTTGCTTTTTGCCCTGCTCCTTCCTCTCATGATCCTGAATTCCAGCATCTTACGGTCACTGCAGTCAAGGCTGCATTTGACCTTTACATCCCCAACCAGATCTTCCTTGCTTGTGAGAATGCAGTCCAGCAGAGCACCTCTCCTCGTTGGCTCCGGTATCCCTAGGGTCAGGACATTGGCATCAATGCTCTCTGGCAAACTCCTGGATTGCTTAAGTCCTTCTGTGTTGTCCCTCCAGCAGATGTCAGAGTGGTTTAAGTCCCCCACAGGGAGCCCGCTCTTCTATGGAGGCTCTCCACAGAAGGCCTCATCCACTTGTTCTTCCTGCAGGCGGCCTACAGCAGATGCCCACTACTGTGTCACCCATATTAGTCTGCTCGTCGATCACTACCCATAAGCTCTCAGTTGACGCCTCATTCAACCCTAGGCAAAGCTCGCTGCATTCCAGCTGCTCCCTCACATTGAGGGCAACTTGCCTTCCCAGGCAGTCCTTCCTAAAGAGCCTGTATCCATCCCTCTCAGCGCTCCCATCATGTGAGCTACCCCACCACATCCCTGTAATTTCAACAAAATCACTGCCCTGCAAGTGCACACAGATCTGTAATTGCTCACACTTATTCTCCATGCTGTGTGCATTAGTGTACAGGCACTTTGGAATGGCAATCTGTTCTACTACAAGAATGATCTGTCCACTCCCACTCTCAGAGAGAATATGGACCACGCGTACAGGCATCAAACAAGCAGAGTCATTTAAAGGACAGAGCACTGATCAGAGGGGAAGAAAAGTTGGGAACACCCTAAAAGACAGTGCCTGAAGCCCAGCATCTGCAGCTTTGAAAGACTGCCCTCTCCCTCTGCCTGCAGGGCTGCTCAAAGACCAATGCACAAGCTGACCGAAGTTTTAGAGGCTACAAGGAGAGATGAACAGAAAAGACGCCTTTGTAACATTTGTAGGCCAGAAAGGTGTAAACTAGACTCCAGATACATCCAACTAGCTAGGGATATTGAACACACCAAAAACACTACAAAGTCAGAAATGTTTGCCAACAAATATAGATGATAAACTGTGCTCCAGACACCAAGACCCCTGCCACTACTTGAAGAATACGTTCTATCTCCTCGTCCTCAAATGGCTTTGGCACTTTTGAAGCTAAGCATCACATGCTTTTGTGTCTGGCAATTTCCCTCAGAAATAGGTTTTTACGGGCTTAAGGTAGTTTTGGGGATAGGGAGAGGTAGTTTCTATTTCTACCTGGAAGAAAGTTTCCACATATTGCAGCAAGTACACCCCACAATCACTGCTGTTATCTTGTTTGGGCACCCTGGGATACAGGTCAATCATTGTTGATTTACTGAATTCTCGATGCGTTTTTCGTTTAGCTTCCCATTCCACTTCAAGGTACCTACAAAAGAAAGCAAACAGATTAAATACTTAGCTCCAAAGCTCAATGCATTTTGAGATACTACTCAATATTGTTCTGGAGCTGGCCAAAAAAAGCTAAAATAGCATTAAACAACTTATTTCACAGAATCTGTTAAAGAATTTCATACAAGAAACAACACAATTTTTACCATACAATAGTCTATCACACTCAAAGGCATCTCTACCATATAATATGCAGTAACTGAAAGATGCATGATGTTATTTAACAACAGCTATTCGTGACAAGTTTCTTCAAACTGTTAGGATACCTGGACATGCTGAAACTTTTAACTACAAGAAGAACTCAAGTAATCTCTCTTGGCTACCACACAGATTTTTCCTGAACTAGCAGGAAAACCTAAGCAAACTTAAGTAAATCATTTAATCTAGGCAAATAATTAAAAAAAAGAAATTTCTACCAATATAACCCCTTTAATCTAGTAGTGTACAAAGTATATAACGACTTATTAAAAACCTTAAGGAATTAGTACTTTAACGATTGTGACTTATTTGTTGTCAGGCTTTTCTGTTGTTCTTGTGCTTCAGAACAACTCACTGACTTCACATTCTGGGCTGGCCACCGATTTTGAAGATTTGAATTTGAAGTAAATATATCGCACAGAGATTAAAAAAAAAAAAAAAGTAATAGTAATTGCTATTTCGTTCTTCCTCCCAAGAAATACATTGTCTCTGTCAAGGGAAAGATAGTTTCACAAAAATTTCTGGTCCTCATCTAACCCGCACATAGTATTTTGAACAATTTTTGTTTCCAAGAAGAAGGTACTACTTGGTTCATAGAGTTTTGTTCCTTCAGTGAAGTGAATTCAACAGAACAGAAAAAGAACAATTCTGTTTAGTTTACAATATTTAAAATTAGCAATGGCTTAAAGTTACTGTTAAATTCATCAGGAGCGTTTAAAAGTACTTAAAGTTTGAAGATATTCTTCCAATACTTATGTATTTATCATATAACAGACTGAATGTATTTTTACTTACTTTCCAAAAGAAAATATAATTCTGCTGTACCTATACTGACACATCAAGCTTTCAGATAGCTTCAGTCTAGTTTCCACTTTCTTGCACATAAATAAGAGTAAATTTAACACTGTAATTCTGTAAGCTCCATCAACAAAAAAAGTTAGCCCTTTAGAAAATTAACCACTTAAATTTCAAAGCATTAATTTTTAAGACATTGGTTTTTACCCTTAAAACACACCCTCCAGTACTGAATTGCAAGGGTAAAAAAATAACAAAACCCCATCTACTTTTAAGTTTTTTTCAGTTTAAAAAGATAGTCCACTTGACGATTTTTGAATTATATCTGGGCTGCAGAACAAAGACAGGATTTTCACACAAGTCTCTGTATTGCCATTATAATTTTTTTTGTAATGACTTTATGGACGTTCCTTTAGAATTAGAAATCTACACTTTTTATAAAGGAAAGCATTCTGAAGATAGAAATACAACCAACAGGATTTCTTGATAATAAACAGAAATGATAATAACTTACTCTCTCAAAACCTGAACTGTCTTCTGCACGGAACCAGCTTTCAAAGAATCCAAGATGAGTATACAAGGCCTGTGCATGACAAAACCAAACAAATCATTCCCAACACTACTGAAGCACATATTTTGTTTGAGTAGAGCTTAACAGGAGCATCAACATCTGAACAAATGTGGAACAAAAAATGTCAAGTTCCTACAGTTGTGGCTTTATGACAAAAAACTAAATTACTGCAGCATTTCTTAATATAAATTTATGATACAATATTAGTATGAAAATCAAAACATACCTTTTGCAAACCTTCTTCTTGCAATTACTTAGGGACATCTGGGAGAAGACAAAAAATAACCTTAAAAACCCCACAATCATTATAAACTCAAATGTCTTCATAGATTCAGAGGTAAAGCCAGAGAGGAACTCACTTCAGAAAAGGAGACGCTAATAAATTTTTTTTTAAAATGCAGGAAAGCACACTATAGGCAACTTAGGTAGGCAAAAGATGACTTAGACTAATTCGAAGTGCCTTGCACATGCTGCATGCCACAATAAAAAAATCAATAGCTGCGGCAAAAGAGATGATGCCAAGTCACTTGGTCAAGTCTCAGAGCCTTCAGAAATTCAATAATATATAATTTCCTCCCTCAGTACAGAAAGGCACGTACTTTAGAAATACCTGAATCCAGGACTGAAGCGGAAGCAGCAATTTCATTGTCATCTAGTACAAAAGAACAAATTAAAAAGTCTTAAGAAAGTATTTCCTAACTGAAATATTTTCATTTTCAAAGGTGTTATCAGTAGTATTCAAAATACAATAGTGAAGCATAAACTAAGATTGCTTCCCTTCAAAATGTTCAAATAGCAGAGTTACTGAAGGTCTTCCTGATACAATTCTTACTGAAATACAAGAATTTCCCATTCATGATGGGATCTGAGTCACTGCTTTTACAAGTCCCTTTCAGTATTTTCCAGTGGTGCCGACAATAAGAATGCATTGCAGTCCTTTATATGCATGGTAACACACAAACATATTTCATCAATCTTGACGTGAAAGATACTTTTTCAAGGTATTGTATCCCTCCTTCAAGGATTAAGACACCATTAGAACTATTTACAGCTTGACATTATTTTCTTCTAGATTACCTACCTTTTGAGAATAAACTTCTGTTAGCATTCATTTCTTCCTCATTCTTGCAGTTGCCAGGGAAGGCCAACACAGAAACAGTTCTGGTGTTCTCATTCTCCAACCAGAGTGGAGACTGATGAGGCTGGGAGTATAATGAATTCTCATGGGGGCACTCCTCATACACAGCTTCTTCTAACCAAGGAAAACAGATAACTGCAATGTACCAATGAGACCTGCCCAGCAATGGGGAAAAGGGGAGAAAAACAGTCAAAACTGCGTAATATATGGTTATGAAAGGATGTGAAAAGTTTTTATAACACCAAGAGCTCACGGACACCTGTTCTGTGACGTATAACCACCACTGCCATTCTTTCATGGCATTTCATACTAATCTTCTTACTCATTTTTTACTTTGCATTATGGCATATCAGCAAAAAGAAATACTGATTCCCTTTAGCAGCATCCAACAAATCCACCACAGCAATTTATCAGTGTCTCACTACCCACTCCATGCTGTTAAAAAAGTAACATCTGTGACAGTGATCCTAATTTTGAATATAGCTGAAGGTATGGCACACATCTATCCTCATCTCTTTCTGCAGCTGTTTTGCACATGTAACTCTCAATGACTATTCAGTTCTACTGGCTTTTCCATGTGCAGGTATTCAACCAGGCCAAGGCACAGACCATGGAAGTACTACTCCTGATCCATTAACGCTATGACTTGCTGTGATTTCTTTATAGAAATATTCCTTAAGGGCACAGGAAGCATCATAATGGCACAGAAATTGTTTTGAAAAATACATCAAAATAACTATCAGTAAAACAAAAACTAAAGATGCAAAATTTACTGATGACAATTAAATAAAAAGTTTAATTTTTCTAAAGATTTCAAAATTATTCATTCCACACCTGTTATTTCTTAAAAAATCTTCTCAGCACCACAACATTCAAATATTTAAATAACAGAAAAGTTGTCTTAAACACACAGACTTACTCCTCATTCACTGGCACAAAGATATAATCTTTACTGAAGATGTTTATATGACGAGTCCATGTTCTTACTCTCCTGTGTCTTCTCTGTGCCACTCTGTGGAAAACAAATTACAATTGCTGTTTGTATTTGTTCTTTTTAGTTAAAGCAAGCTATAGGGATTAGTACCCCTACAACTACTCCATCCCTCGATCAGTTTTTCATTTACTCTTGAAAATTCCTTGACATTGCAAAAATAAATAAGTAGACCGTTAAACCCAAGTAACTAACAAGCCATTTCCAAACCCTCTTAAACTGTTCTGGAAAAAGTCATCCATAGATCTGAAATGATTTCTTGCAGTTTTTTATCCAGTAATTATTGTTTACTACACTAAATGCAAAAATCTTGTCTAAACACCAGCCAGTATACAGAGAGATCTATAGCAATTTACAAACATCCATGAATCAAACTTCCCAATGCCACTTTTGAAGGTTCATCTAAACAAACTCATCTCTTCAAGGAGAAAGCTAAACCTCTTGCAAAGGGTCATGTAACACACCTGTAGCAGAGTCAGGACTGAAACAGATTGCCTCCAGTTCTGAGCTTTAAATGCTGGAGCATATTTAATTTTCAGTCCTACAGACGTAAAACATGAGGACAGGATAACCGGAGAGTAAGAAAAAATTGAGAAGAAACCTAAACTTAGATTTTCAACTTTCTTAGTTTGCACAAGTTGAAACAGAAACTAGCGGTCCACAGAATTTGGCTCCGATATGTTCTGAAAGCAAAATTCACTCCATTCAGTAGATACTCCTATTACTATTCTGATTCCATCCTGATCTGTGATCAAGAAATGTAACTTCAGTGTACGGAGAACAGGATAAAAAAAAGGACGAATGGAAAAACTGTTTGCTGTGGGCCACTGCATGGGCCAGCATTAAATGAAGACTTGCTGCATCACTCTAGGAGCACTGTGAATTTAAAAGGGGAAGGTGTGTTTGCAACCTGGGAAAGCACCTGCAGAAGGAGCTCCCCCTTCAGGTACTGGAAGTAGCGTGAAGAAAAAAGAAGTAAAAGTTCTTTAAGTTAAACAACTACATCAGTTGAGACTAATTTCATCTACAACAGTACAGAGCTCAATTTTCCACTATTTATCAAAAAAAACTGCACAGAAACAAACAAACAATAAGCAAACCACTCGTAATCACCAGGTAAGCCCAAACACTAAACCAGAGTTTCCAAAGCTATCTCCTCAACTGGAGCAGCTACAGTCCTTAAAATACAGTGAATTAAAAGTGCACTCCAGTTTCTCAGGAAGGTTATGAACAGTCCAGTCTTTTCAAAGGAATCAGATCAAGGCACAACAGCAGTCTCGACACAGACAATTTTGTCTCTACCTCAGAACATTCAGGATATGAAGACACTAAAATGATGAAAGACATTCTCTCAAGCACAGGTCCTTAATTTTTTGAGACATCTTTGACAATATTGCAGAAATTGCACTTTTTCCCCTTTAACATAGTCACTGCTGGGTGACAGCTAACACAAACAATATAGCTTATGTCTTTGTGCAAGTGGACTTATCTGCCAGTAGACTGAAAAACCTGGGAACTTCATGGATAACAGAAGTAAAATCACTTCAGAGAGAAATAGAAAAAAAAAACAACTTTGATAAGCTGAATGATGAAAACAGAATCACAGAGTCACAGAATTCATTGGGTTGGAAGGGACCTTTAAAAGGGCATCTAGTCCAACCCCCCTGCAGTGAGCAGGGACATCTGCAACCAGGTCAGGTTGCTCAGAGCCCCATCCAGCCTGACCTTGAATGTCTCCAGGGATGGGGCCTCCACCACCTCTCTGGGCAACCTGTGCCAGTGTTTCATCACCCTCACAGTAAAGAACTTCCTAATGTCTAATCTAAATCTACTCTGCTCCAGTTTAAAACCATTGCTCCTTGTCTTATCATCATGTGCCCCTGTAAAAAGTCCCTCCCAGCTTTCCTGTAGGCCCCCTTCAGGTACTGGAAGGCCACAATAAGGTCTCCCCAGAGCCTTCTCTTCTCCAGGCTCAACAGCCCCAACTCTCTCAGCCTGTCTTTGTCAGAGAGGTGCTCCAGCCCTTTGACCACACAAAGTGGCTGTCCTCTGGATCCACTCCAACAGGTCCATGTCCTTCTTGTGTTGAGGGCTCCAGAGTTGGACACAGTACTCCAGGTGAGGTCTCATCAGAGCAGAGCAGAGTTCTCTTGACCTACTGGCTAGATGTAGCCAGATGTAGCTAGATGTAGATGGCTTGATGTAGCCCAGGATGTGATTGGCCTTCTGGGCTGCAAGCGCACATTGTTGACTCATGTCCAGCTTTTACCCACTGATACCCTAGAATGAAAGTTGCTGGCAGATGATCACTGTAAGTGACGTGGCAGGGCACAGTCCACTCTCAAACATCAATGTTGAGAAGTAACAGAAGTGGTGGAGATGGTCCTGCCCTTTATACAGTCTTAGCTAAAACCAGGAATAGATACAGGGTTCTTGAGCTGTTAATGACACCTTTCTCTGAAACTCCAGGGTTCCACTGTGCTCAAGTGTCATAAAACTAAAGTGCAAAGCTGACGTGTAAGAAATTTATTTTTACTAAATTTACCAATATATAAGATGAAATATGTAGTAAATCTAAAAAATATTTTTAAAAGTGCAATTTCTTAGAAGTATGCATACCCTGGAAAACATTGATTTTGTAATAAAAGGATCAAAATACAAATTGTCTGAAGTGAAGATTCAGATAAAGCTGGAGAAAAGTGGTAATAGTTTCATTCTTATTCAGTATGAATCACACATAGATTTTAATGAAAAACACCAGTATGCTCAAAAGGCAAGTTACAACATTTAGCCACTAATCCTTTGGAGAACACCAACTACTACTTTATGTGCTAATTAGGAGATCATCTGCAGAGCTTCCAAGTGGCATCAACAGACAGCTTATTTCTGGTCATAATGGCATCTAAAATGAACTTACGAAACTTTGAGGTCCCCCTCAGAGTTTTTTTCCTTCCTGGTCAGGCACTTGTAGAAGAAACTGCTAAATATGTGTGTACGGTCAGCAAGATGCTTCGGCGCCTTCTCCAACAACAGGTATCTAACAAATGAAAAGGAAAGAAATTATTAAATTCCTTTTCTAGAAAGTATGATTACTGATAGCAAGGGACAGTCATTTTAATGACTTATCATATTCAGGTTATGTTTCCTATCAATTACCTTTACAGTCACTAATCATACCAAACTTTTCTCTCTACTCTATTTTCCATATGCACATGGGTGGACATCAACAGAGTACGTAACAGCCAAGCAACTGCTAAGAAAACAGTTATTTTTGTATCTCAGATGTGTGCTCTAGCATTAATGTGTCTTGAATTTATTTTTCAAGCTAGGTTTCTAGCCCTTGCAGTTATGACAGACACCAAAACCTCACCAATATAAGCCTGTGGAGTTTTATACTCCTGCACACACAAAAAGCATAGAACAGGTTAGTGCTATAAATTGTCCATTTTGCTTCTACAGGTTATGCATGTGAAAGTTAAGACAAATGCTCTACAAATACACATTCTGTACAATTTTACTGTTGATCATTTTACTATAGACATCAGCTTGAGTGTTTATTCTGTCATCCTAGAAGGCCAAAGCTCTCATAATTGCAGTCACCCTACGCAAGCTGCCCTCCAGCTTCACCTGATGACTTGGGCAACAGTCACACACGATACAGCTTGCAACACAATGAAAACTGAGAATGTGAGAAGTCTAATAAACTTCAAAAGCAGAGAACTTTCTGCAATGACTGCATTAAATCTGACTCCTCTGGTGAGATAAAGCTACAGCTATTAAGAGGACTATGCTGCATGATTTATTTCTTGTTTAGAGCATAATACAGGGGGCTTTTGTAAAACCACATTGGAACACTCTGGTATGCATTTCCTTTCCCACTCCTCTAGACTGGAAGTTTTAGCTAGTTTCTTAATGCTCAGAGTTACTGCAGCCATGCTGGATGCCAAGCAAAATGGAATTCTTGCAGACAACCTCTGAAAGAGCAGAATTCTGCTTAAGTTTAAGTCAGCATAGGGAAAATGAACCACACTTTTAGGGAGATTCATTTAGCCAAGCACAGCTTCCTCAGGAAGTATTAGCTATGTTCCTTTCTGCAGGAGCTGTATATCAGAAGAATTCCCAAACTCTTGCACAGAATAGCAGAGGATGCTCCACTTCATGCAAACTTGGTAAATAAACTACTAGTACAAACTGTCTACTTTTTTGTTCAATTGCTTGCTTAAAACTGCTCAGCATTTTCTGTTCTGTGAGGCTGCCAAGAGACTTTTCCTTAGCTATTATATCTGGGTTATATCACAGCCCTTTTAAGGGACAAGAAGAATGAAATTGAAACAAATGAATCTGCTGAGAATACACAAAAGCTTTAAAAAAAAGTCTAACTTACACATTCATCATACTGTTACTTCTTAAATTGTTGTACCATATTTAGTGACCAGCTCTTACAGTAATATTCAGGCCCAGACCATGTCCCAGAAAGAAGGGTACAATTAAGGCTGTGATTACTTACTTAAGATAGAAATCAATTATGACATCATTGAGAAACTCTCCATATTCTAAGCACTCTAGGTCTTCTCTCGTGACTCCCAGTCCTCCTTTTGCAGGTGGGGGTGGATAAACAATTAAACTAGAAAACACAAATTACATTATAACAGTGACAAACTGTGTTTTACATTACCTTCTTCTTAGTATGGTTGTTTCACATGTAGAAGATTTTCTAGAAAACCTGTTAAAAGTGGTAGTTCTCAAAACTGTTGACTAACTCAGAAGTACTTTAGCACTTCTTCCTCCAATAGTCAAGTGTTACAAAAGAAACAGGCAGTCCAATGCACACTAAAATTTTGAGAAAAACTTGTTAAAATTCGGTTTCTTTTTACCTTCATCTGGATTTTCTTTTTTTTGGTTTGAATTAAAGTAATTGACAAATGGCTATAGAAAATGGGAAGATATACTAGCGGAGATATTATCAAATGGTATGCATTAACAGTGACTGTCTCTTCATTAAGACTCCAGTAAGGACTCTCACATTTCCAAGCCGGAATCTTGGATTTACATATCATGCAGCATATGTACTGTATCATAGAATCATAGAATGGTTAAGGTTGGAAGGGATCTTGAAGATTAACTAGTTTCAATTCCCTTGATGTGGGCAGGGACACCTCTCTCCCACTAGACCGGGTTGCCCTAAGCCCCATCCAACCTGGCCTTGAACACTTTCAGGGATGAGGCATCCACAACCTCCTTGGGCAACCTGTTCCAGTGCTTCACCACTCTCATGGTGAAGAAGTCTTTCCTTATATCTAATCTACATCTACCCTCTTGCAGTTTCAGGCCATTGCCCCTTGTCCTATCACTACAGGCCCTAGCAAAAAGTCCCTCTTCAGCTTTCCTGTAGGCCCCTGTCATATATCAGAGGGCCACTACCAGGTCACCCTAAAGCCTTCTCTTCTCCAAGCTAAATAATCCCAGTTCCCTTGGCCTGTCCTCATAGCAGACGTACTCCATTTCCATGGCCCTCCTCTGGACCAGCTCCAGCAGATCCATGTCCTTTTTTGTACTGTGGGCTCCAGAACTGCATGCAGTACTCCAGGTGGAGCCTCATCAGAGCAGAGTAGAAGAGGAGAATTACCTCCCTCAACCTGCTGGTCATGCTCCTTTCGATGTGGCCTGGGACATGGTTCGCTTTTTGGGCTGCAGCTGCACACTGCTGGCTCATGTTGAGCCTCTTGTCAACATACCACTGTAAGTGGTTTAAAACTGTCCAAGTTACCTCTAACACCAGTATTTTAAAAGCTCTAGATTAACTGGAACCATCAGAGAATCACAGAATGTTAGCGGTTGGAAGGGACTCTGAATAATCATCTAGTCCAGCCCCCCTGCCAGAGCAGGATCACCTACAGTAGGTCACACAGGAACGGGTACAGGCGGGGTTTTTATGACTTCTCAAAAGGAGACTCCACAACCTCCCTGGGCAGCCTACCTTGCAGGGCAGCCTGTGCCAGTGCTCTGTCACCCTCACAGTGAAAAAGCTTTTCCTAATGTTTTTGTGGAATCTCCTATGCTCCAGATTGTACAACCATGAACTGAGCATTTTTGACATGGCAGAAACAACTGCTATACTGTCAGTAAAAACAGTGAAAAGGCAAGAGTTGTTAAGATCAATTTACTCCACTAATGCTTGCCATACAAGAAGCATGAGGACTAACAGGCTAGTGCAGACAGAACCAAGGTATTTGAATGCTCTCCTAGTATCTTGCTGCATTACCCTTTTGTCTGTTCTCATTTTCTAATGTCTTCTGTTAACCAAGCTCCTGCGCCAAGTAGTAAATTGTATGACAAACTAGTTATAAATAGATTTAGTGTAACAGAAGAGCAAAAGAAAACACTGGTTTGATTTTTAAAAGGCTCATCTTAAATTAGCAATAGTTTTGCTGTGATATGGACTTAAATGGACACTCACAGAGGCCAGGAGGTCCCTACCCTTCCACTGATGCATCAATGATATGAGCTTGTCACAGTTCAGATATGCGCTAATTTGTGTGGCATTTTCTGTCACCCTGTAACACATCCATTTTGTCTGTTAGCTACTAGGCTGGAAACAGGAATAACTACATTCATACTTGGTGATACTTTAGATTTCTAGAACATCTTTCACACAACACTTTCAAATCAACTAGAGGATGGTAGTTAAGCCAGGGCTTTTATTCCAGTATGTTGTTTATTCTATTTCCTTTATTTTCATCTTCTCATTTATATGAAATATACTTACTTCTCAACTGATACACCTTCTGTTACACGTTCTGTTACTTCTTTCCATCCTTCATTCAGTGCAGAGGACAGAGAGATAGAATAGCAACCACTACTCTGCTTATTTGCGAGGGCATAACTGGGCCTGGCCACTTTTGGTTTTGATTCCTACTAGGAAAAAGAAAAATCAAACAATAATAATAGTAAAAAGCCTTATACAGCTTGATAAGTAAACCAGAACACACAAAACCCAACCCTGAAGCCAACAGGGCTAAAAGCTGCATCACTGAAGAGTAATCATGCTAGAGAGCAGCAATACTTCTTCATACCAGTATTCCGGAAAACCTGCCACTGCTCAGACAATAAACGTCCCTTTTTAAATGATGACAGGTCTCCACCTGCTCATAACCTCTCTGAATCTGTTTAAGCATTATTTGGACACAGAATTGGTTTTGGAGAAGAAACAAGATCGGAAAGGATGGAGGCAACTATCAGAATGTCTTGGTAGGAGATGTGTATGCTTGGAAGATTTGAAAATCTAGTTCTTTGCCTAAAAATGCTACAGATTTGAACTGACAGGCTCAATTTTTAAGTTCCTGGTTTCATAGCCAGATTGATCTGTTGTGCTTTTTACTGATGAGAACAAATATATGTAAATTCTGAACAGACAATGATGTTTACTCCTCAGAGGAAGGTGTAGTAGCACATTAACTCCCACAGCCCCATCTCCCCAGCACCCTTAGGAATCATTTAGCATATCAAGCTGTGGAGATCCCACTAGTATGTCTAGAGGTGTCTGGAACGAGTAAGATACACAGCTCCTCCTCTGCTGCACCCCTTCACTTTCAGCTCAGCTGAAAAATGGTTCCATCCCTCACTACTTGATTAACTCCCAGCTTGCTGCCCTGGAGACACTGTAAGGGCAGGACATCCTTGCGGTTGTAGGCATACACAAGCACAAGCCAACCTAAACCTTCAGTATTTGCCACTTACTGATGAGGTCTGTACACTATCCTTCTGTGGATAGTTAACACCAAATCTTGTGGAAGTGAAATAAGAAACATGACTGACTTCTTCTTGAGCTACAGATTTAAAAAGAAGGCTGATCTAAAATTTACTAGAATGTGTGAATGCCAACAGGTGGTGATGAATCAAGAAACAGCTACACACTAACCTGAACTGCAAGCTCATGAGCATCCAAGGTATTCTCTTCCAGCATACAATGCTTTATGTAAGTCATAAAAGAGCTCTCTTCAGGAGAAAGATCCTTGAACAAGGGTAATGCTTCCTTCAAAGACAAAAACTCAGCAAGATCTGATGCTCTGTTCCTCTTGCTCACATCTGCAATCAATCCAGTCAGTCTTTCTTCTTCCCGTTCTTTGAGCGGTTGGGACAGTTCAAGAAATACAAATTCATTAGATTTGGCTGGAAAAAGAAGAGAAAGGATAGATTAGGGTATGTGATAAAAACTGGTCTGCGCACCCACAAAGGAGCATAGGGAGACACTTGTAGGAGGGGGAACCCACATAATATCCTGCCAAGGTAGCAGCCCTCAGCCCACCAAAGGCCCACCTCCTCAAACCCAAGGGAGCACAGTGGCACAACAGCAGGTAAGGAACCAAACCAAGGACTGGGAGGAAGGGACACCCTTCCCAGGCCAGTCCTAGGAGAGCCTCAGCCCCAGGGTCCAGACCTGAAGCCCAGCAAGGTAAGGCAATACCAGAGCACCTTTTGGACTGAGGAGGGGTTGCTGCTGAGGTGTACGGCACACGTGATGGGTCGCAGGGGAACAGCACAAGACTTACTCTGGCACATTTAAGGGAAGAACCAAAGGCAGGCAACGGGGGGAGGCATTTAGGTCATTTTTGTGAGGAGCAAGTGTGGGAAAATAGAGGGCTAAAAGCATCAAAAGGACCAGTCACATCTAAATATTTTGCTGGTCAAAACATTTGTCTGGCCATGCCTTGTGCATTAATCAGCAGAATCTGTCCTGCGTTCTTACTAAATTTCTCTATAACTCTCTCCTGGGTGAGGGACTCTATCTGATGTGGCTGTACCAGGGTCTGAGTGCAGGAACTGAAGTGAGTGCATGTGTGCAAGCTGAGTGTGGCTGCTAGCAAAGATCAAGCCAAAACGGCTGAACAGGTGAAGTGTCCCAGCAGGCAGGAGGGCAAGCAGGTCCCTAAAGGACAGCTGTGGCTGTGACACAGCCTGTATCTCTAAGAATGAGAGCACAGGGGGTTGAACAACTGGGAAAGGAGAGTCCTGGCCAGCTGCCTGCTTGCATGCACATGACAGACTGCACCAGCAATGGGCACTAGTCTCGGTGGCTTGTATTGTCCAGGTGACAGCAACTCGGGAGACTGGGACCCAGGGCCAGCAACTGGGCAGACTGAATGCCTAAGCCCAACTAATGGAGGGATCCACCTTGTACATATATGTGTGTGCATACATATATATATATATA